AAATCATCGTCCAGCGAAAAAACGGTTCCCGAAGCAGGGACCTAATCATCGTTAAGTAAAAAAAACCCAAAAAAACCCACTGTTTTGCGATCGCTATAGCAATCGCAAAAAGTCATTGTCAAGCGACTTCATCATCATGCAGGGTCGTCGTAATGCGGGGCACTACTGTATGCTTGAAATTGAACCTTGAACTCATTGTGGGCAGCTGTGGTTAGAGTAGTGTACTGTTGCTTTGATTTTTCCGCTACTGTATCACTGATCTGAGTTGCTGTATGTAGGGCTTCAAGAACAGCCCCTATTCTGGTGATTCTAAGACTTCTTTCCATCAGCTTTTCAACAACAGCTACTACCATGTTGCGACACTCTAGACAAAACTTGGTCACTTGACGTTAACTCCGTTTAGTTTCTTTCAGCAGCTTCTTTGCTGCAAATGTCAACATTGCTTCCATCAAGCAAGTTCTCAGACAATTTCATATCAATTGTTAACAACTGGGAGCCAGGAGACACATTTAGCTTCTTGATTTCTTGATTAACTTACAAAGTTCTTCATACAAAAAAAAAGGGGTGCCAATGGTTTTTGGTTTTGAAACCGTTGTAGAAATGGCTCACAATCTCAAGCAATCATTTTCATTAAAGCCATTTTGCACTTCCTGAGTGGATCTTGCATTGCAGCTTTAATACAAATTGCACGTTTATTGGGGGGAGTTTTGCTTCTTCTGCATACTTTTTTAAAAAACATTTTATTAGTTTTTCACTCTATCTACATTGGTTTGTACTTGTCGATCGCTAAGCAAGGCACCACTGTACTCTCCTCTGATCCAATACTGATGTTGTTTCTCTTAGGTTTTCCCCATTAATTTCCTCCAGCTCCTCTTTTGATTGGCATACATCATCCGGCACACTCTCATTTCCTTCTTCGTTATTCCCTGTCGCGTGTTGACTATAATTCCTCAGATGTTCATTGAATAATTTTGCCTCTTGATAATGGGATCTCACTATTTCTAGTATTGCTTGAAGGGTAGATTTTATTTCATCCCAAAATTGTCCTTGTTGTGCCATTTTGTTCCAGCTGCCCAAGAGCTTAGGCCAACTCGCAGTCCAGTTCGATGATTGTATCTGTGTCCTAACTGATCCCTAGCAAATTGATGCCAGCTAAACAGATATTCCAAATCTCCAGAGTCAGTTCAAAGAGTCCGCTTTGGCTAAATAGGCCTGAACCAAAATTTAAACCCCCAAGATGCCAAGGTACAATGCAATGGTTGTATCCGCGGCCTGATGGCCTAATTCCCACAAGTTTACGCCAGTTAGTCAAACATAAGCACTTCCAGCTCCCCGGGGCAGTTTCAAAAGATCTACTTTGGCCAAATAGGCCTGGAACGAGGTTCAAAAGCCCCAAATATCACAGTCCAGTTCAGTGTTTGTATCCATATCCTGGTTGCCTAGTTCCCGCAATTCTGCATGGCCAAAACTGTGATTCCAAGTGGCCGGAGGTGGTTCCAAAAAGTTCACTTTGGCCCAATATACTAATTCCCAAGGTACAGTTTAAAAATATCCACTTTAGGGTTAATTTATCTATGTTCCAGTCAGGCATAAAGAAATCAAAAAGAAATACAAAACAAGTTTCCAAGCTTTAAACAACAGTGGAGTACTCAAGGTCACTGTTCTGGGGATTATGCCAAAAAACTTCAAATAGTCAAAACATGAGTCCAGACTTATCCAGTAATAACTTATGAGAAAATTTCTTAAGATTTATAACGCCAACTTATAATATTCTTAAAGTATATTTTGAATGTATTTAAATGAGTAGTTAATGTCCCATTAATCTTTAAGTTATTTTCTTTGCATCAACTCTCCCTCTCTCCAGATTTCCTGCCGCTCTATGAGTGAAGAGATTGATAGAAGGTTCTTTTTTCTGTATATAGGAATTGTCTTCTCCAGGGGTAATCGTAAGCAATTAGTTGTAAAAATATATCTCACCCGATAGTAACACTGATGCTGAATAGCTGATTGTTGCTTCTCTTATTTGCCGGCTGCCGACGACTTGCAAGCGAGCTTTAAGCTGCTTGTTTCTGCCCATTGGCTGATTAGGGAGTTTCCTGGATCAAATGGGGATGACCACCGTCCCCCCGTGATCAACAGGCTACCCCCCCAGTTCACCACCTCTCCGGGGTGGTTTCGACACCGTGGGGTGTCCCAAACAGGTCAGAATTCAGCCCAGGGGACAGAGCTCTGTCCTCCTGCTGCTGTATCGTTGCGGCGTCAAGCTAGAAGTCACTTCTTCCGCATACTTGATGTTGTCAAAAACAATCATAGCTCTATCAAGGCAGTTAACATTCTCAAACCACCTGGTGAAGCAAAACCTATGGGAAAATAGCATGCTTCTGGTCATAGCAGAGTATGACGCTCTCCTAGCTGGGGAATCTGAACAGATAATACATGTTGCACAAGACTGAATTTAGGTCCCATGTCACTGTTGGCAATCCTGTTTTAAAAGACCCATGTACAAGGTGAAGGCTACTACAAGTTCCAAAGTCAATCAATTATTTTCCACAGTCAAGGCGAATTGAACAGTAGAATACAAGCTTGAAGTGAGAAGTTCCAAACTGCTCAGCGGAAAAATGGAACTGAGGCTTTGGCAGGCGGAGCTTGCGCATTACAGGCAACCTAAAACTTTGTTATTTCTCTATTAAAAGCTCGAGAAGATTCCGAGAGGTCCAGCGCATTCACAGAGGCCACGCTGAAGAAACACTGGTTAGATACTGTGTTGAAACTTTATGACAGTAAGCAGTCCAAAAACAAACAACTAAATCCATCTGTTCCTTTTGAACTACCTTATTCAAAACTTCATCAAAAGAGTAACAAATGTGCAACTGGTGATAGCCATGAAACAAAGTCAGGATGAAGTTTGAAATCCAGCCACTGCATATTAAAAACAGTCATCTTAAAAGCCATCTTCGAAATGTGGTTTCAGATATAGCCATTCATAAAACCACCTGCCTGACACCAAGATATTAGCAGATTTGTTTTCTGGCAAGTAGGAACTTTCCAAAGCTGGGAAAGTTTCACTTTCATTTTCTGGTTCCAGAAACTGTAATAAGCAGATCAGCAACAAGAAAGGAAGTGGAGTTTAAATGCTTGCAGATCATTTCTGCAATCTAGAGAAGCAGACAACCCTGATTTGCAAGTTTTATGCATAGGAGAAGTCAGAGAAGAGGATGAGAGAGCTGGTACTCTGTAAACTCCAGCAGGAACAAGCAATCATGTTTGAAAAATTTACTTTGCATGATGCAGAGTAGAAAGTGCTAGTTGACTGTGAAATCCAGTAACAGCAAAACTCAATTGCAACTCTGTGCTGGGTTTAGCAGGAGACAAAACATCCATTCCATACACAAAAACATGCTCATCTTTATATGTAAGTTAAATGCAGTAACAGCAGGTAAGGATGAAAACAGATGTTCAAAGTTTGTATCTTGCTAAATGTTTAAACTAGCCTTACTTTGCAAATGCTATAGGCATGGAAATCATGCAGGGACAGAGCTCAACAAACTCATTAGGCTGGTTGCTGGGGGTGGAGTTGAGAAAAAGGTGGAGCTGGGAAAGGGCATCATAAAGTTTTACTTATACAGTGGTGCCTCGACTAATGAACTCAATCCGTCCCAGAAGATGGTCGTAACTTGAAGCACCATTTCCTATAGGAATGCATTGGGGCACAATTAACCCGTTCCAGACATGGGGGAAAATTACCACCACCCCCAAAAAAAGCCCACTGTAAGCCCCATCGAAACTCACTGGGGCTGAAAAATATCAGCAAAATCCAAAAAAGACCACTGCAAGCTCCACTGGAACATGTCGGGTCGGGGGGGAAGTATCACTACAAATCTACAAATAAATAAATAAATAAATAAATAAATAAATAAATAAATAAATAAATAAATAAATAAATAAATACAAGCCCCATCGGAATGTGTCGGGGCTGGGGAAAAAAATCACCAAAAACCAAAAAAACATCGCAAGCCCCATCGGAACGAGCTGGGACTGGGGAAAAAAATCACCAAGGGGAAAAAAAACACAGCAAGCCTCATTGGAATGCACTGGGGCTGAAAAAACAACCACACACACACACAAAACATGCTGGGGGCTAAACACACACACACACACACACACACACACACACACAGAGAGAGAGAGAGAGAGAGAGAGAGAGAGATTAAGTCCCATCAGAACATGCTGGGGTTGAAAAAAACACCACACACACAAAAAACAAACAGCAAGCCCCATCCCATTGGAAAGCTCTGGGGCTGGAAAAAAATTGCCAAAAAAACAAAAAAAAGCAAGCCGCATTGGAACGCTCTGGGGCTGGGGAAAAAACCCACAACACACACAAAAATCACAGCACAGAAACATAACCCCCCCCAGCCCAAACCCACCCTGCAAAACCTTGTATGTACTCACTCAGAAGCAGAAAGCACCACCAGGCAGTCTGAAGCCTCCTCCAACACATACTCTCTAACCATTGAGGCGAAAGAGCTACAAAGAAGCAGCTTCTTCACCTACCAACAGTTAGTAATTCAAATTCCCCACCTTTTTTCTGGTCGTAACTCGAAGCTCTGGTTGCAAATAGAAACAAAATTTTGTGGCCAGAGCTGGTCGTAGCTTGAAATGGTTGTAAGTCGGGATGTTAATAAGTCGAGGCACCACTGTATTCTGCTACTTCTCTGTACCAGTTGCCACAAGAACATATCATGCTCTTGCAGCAGCAGGTCAAAAATCCACTGCTCGAATATATTTTAACCACAATTTCCCTGACTTTCCAGAAAGTGGCTACCGTACATGGGGTATACATATTTAAACAAATAAAATAAATAAATTTAACTTTAATACAATAATATTCTGACTGCAAGAAAAATTGCTAATTGACTTATTAGTTAAACTAGGTATTTCACAATAATGTATATATTTTCTATCAACAGTGTATTATAGAAGAAGAAAAACATGCATACTTTGGTCTCTTTCTATGATGCAGATGGACTGGTATCTTCTTCTCTTCAGGGCTTCCTGAAGATTCTTCATCTCCTCCAGGTAACTCAGGTGGCAGAGGCAGATCTGCAAGCAAGTGGCGCAATTTCTTCTCCACTTCTTTTTTAACTGCTTTCACAGAAATACTCCCTTGCAAACTAGAAAAATACAGGCATTTAGTTGCTGTGAATTGGAAATTCTAAAAGACCTTAGATCAAAGTAATTTCCCCCACTTTGTGTTGTCCGGGTGTGCATTTTAAACAAATATAAATTCACAAATATGTAAAAGTACTGTAAATTAGAATCAGACCTCCAATTTGGGGGCTATGAAATCTTAATGACTATAGAGTAAAACCTAAAAGAAAATTAAAAAAGAAATCATACACGTTTCTCTCTGATAAGAGTATATCCACACAGGAGAAAACATACTGTACTTGTGAAGTGATTCTTGTACTCAGATCTTTCTAAGTTATTTTCCACTTGCTCCAGCTCCTTCTTGAAGAATCATTATTAGAGAAAACCTAATCTACCACCAGAAACAACCATATTTTATAAATCATAATATAAAGTAAAAAATCAGGCTATAATCCTGAACAGATTTTTCACAAATTAAGTACCAATGAATAGAACAGGATTGATCTGTTCAGGGTATATCCATGGGATTGTACTGCTCACATTGTTAAATTACTTGAACTCAATCTTGTCTTCTTTTGTCTAAATATTCTGTTATCAGTTTTGGTAACTACAATTTAGTGAAGTGCCACTATATAAATTTCTGTTGTTAGAACTCATTCTAGATGGCACTCCAGATTTTTTAAAAAAATAATCAGACCGTTCTGAAACAGTTAAATCACGAACTTGCCACCTATTAATTCAATAAACTTGGTGGCTACCAGACTACTATTTTGACAAGCACACTGTACTTTCTCCACAGATCAAGATTTGTGTTGAGGTTTGCCTACTGCTGGTTCGCCTACTGCTAAGATATAACACAGTGAAAGTTAAAATAGTTATTAATTTTTACTTTTACAAATAATGATGGTTAAAAATCTCACTTCAAATAGTAATGGGATGAAATCCCTCCATTTTTTTTTCTTAGTATAGTGTGGCATTGCTGTTATTGCTAACTTCTATCCAGGAAAGTTGTTCGCATGTTACTATTATGTTGTTTATTTCATAACAATTTGCCATGACAATTATTTAGGTGAACAGGCTGTGCATGGTCCTTCATTTTTAAGTTGAAAATAAAAATCCTGTACTACTTGGAGCAAAGTATGAAGCCCTGTCTTTTCCTTCAACAGCTACACAGCTGATACTTCCCATATTTCCAAGCATGTCTAGAGCATCCTTTTCTCCTATTCATTGGATGTTTTTGGCCAGAGGTGGGCAACTTCACAGTATCCAGAAGCAAATCCTTTGCCCCAGTACTCAATACCCCATAAAAGTGCAAAATTCAAAACATATGCAATAATTACACAGCAGAAGTTGACCAGCGTTTGTGTTTATCAAAGCATGAGTTAACTTGGTAATAGCCTGAAATGGTCAGCATATAAATGAGACACAAATTTGGTTACAGCCTAATCTATTTCTATATCCAACAAGAGTTATTCTCACTGTGCATCTCCACATATGACTGTGATCTTCAGTTTCCCCCTATCTTCTTCAGAAATAAAACATGTCATTGATGTACCTATGCCCAAATTTCATCTGTTTTTACTCACAGTGGCTCTCACTGAAGAAACACAATTTGCTGCTCTCATGTTAGCAAAACAACTATGAAGAAATGGGGGGGGGGGCACAGTCACGTCTAATCTTTCTCTGTGCCAGGGCACAAGACTAGGACTTCCAGGTTGTGATCCTATCCAAATTATATAGAAATACTGAATATGCTGGCAAAGGAAACGAAGGAGTAAGAAAACATAATGTAGACTTTAAAGACTAACAGATTTATTTCAGTGTGTGCTTTCACACATTAAAATCCACTGCTTCCAAAAAGAAAAAATAATCCACTGCTTCAAATCTAAAGAAGTTCATTTTGAGCCACGAAAGCCCATTCTGAAATAAGAAAGAAAAGGCAAAATACTTAAGACTTCAGTAACTAAGACCCTGAGTACAAATTTTTAAATGCAGGAAATATGACAGGTTTGAGATGGGCTGATTTGCATTCTTCCCCACTGATCATAGGAAATATGAATCAGCTGGAGTCCCACAGCCCCAATCCAGTTTTCCCTCCACAAGAGACCCTTCTATTTTTTAAGTTGAATCCTTTCAGTTCAAAGGGCATGATCGCTCTGAACCAATGAATAAAGGAAAGCCCAATCAAACACACAGGCATGCACACATGCAAAAGAAGTGTGCTTTAGCAAAGTACTTTTCCCCTTGCTTCTTGCCTCATGACCTGTGCGTGCACATACATACAAATAAAAGCAGCGTACACCTACAAGGAGCAAACGCTCTGTCCCAAGACACTTTTTCCTCTTGCAGTTGTCCTCCGTGGCAACTCACCCGGTATTTTTGTTTTACAGTTAAGAAACAGAGCTTTTATCCAAGGATGAGTTTTTTTAAAAAAAAAAAAACAACAACCTAGCTAATGATATAACTACAGTGGTACCTCAGCTTACGAACTTAATCTGTATTGGAACGGTGTTCACAAGTCGAAAAGTTCGTAGGTCGAGGCATCATTTCCCATAGGAATGCACTGAAAACCGATTAATGCGCTCGGAGGGAAGAAAAAATATCAAAAAAAATTAAAAATAAAACACTGGAAGTCCCATGCTGGGACTGCAAAAAACCAAAAACCAAAAACACACAAAACCAAAAATAAACACTGGAGCAAATCCCACGCTGGAACTGCAAAAAACACAAAATCACCAAAAAACAAAAAAACACAGCACAGAAACATAACCCCCCAGCCCAAACCCACCCTGCAAAAGCCACCCAGAACAGTTTAAAAAAAGAAAAAAGCAGCACTTACCAGTCCAAAGCCTCCTGCGCCCCCCCCCCGCTGCTGTGATTGCTGTCGCCGTGAGGCTTGAGCCTGGCCGGGTTGCTTCGGCCGCTTGCCCCCGGCCGCGGCGGAGGCAGTGGTTGCCCCGTGCGGGGAGACTTGAGCTGACTGGATTTCGGCTCAAGTCTCCCGGCGCCGGGTGACCGCTGCCTCTAACTTTGGTGGCGGGGGCCTTCCCCAGGAGGTCTCTGATCGCAGTGGGGAAGCCTTGGGAGACCTCTCTGGGGTCCCCCACCGCCATCGGAGACCTCATGGGGGTCCCTTTTCCTAACTGTTAGGGCGAAAGAGTAGCCTCTTCACCACCAACGGTTTGAATGGAACAAAAAAAAGCAGGGGAAATTTGAATTTCCTGCCCTTTTCCCCTGCCTTTTTTTCGTTTGTAGGTCGAGGCTCCGTTTGCAAGTTGATGCAGATTTTTGTGAACCAAGCCGTTCGTAAGTCAAAATGTTCGTAGATAGGGATGTTCGTAAGTTGAAGTTCCACTGTACTTGAGAAAGCTGAAGTAAGAAGGCCTTTTTATTGATTGTAAGGCAGTTTTTTGTAATGGCACCACCTACAGGGCTATATGCAGAACTGCAAGCACAGAGAAAGAAAGAAAAAAAAGGCTTTCTCCTGTTTTCTGTGTGGCAACTTAAATCAGAAAGATCCAAGTTTCCTGGTACAAATTCACAGTGAGCAAATGTGACTCAATTTGCATTTCCCTCACTGTGTAGTCAAGTCCTAACAGATTATTTTCAGTTTCCGTGGATCAAAATTCACTTCTTCAGTTGATTTGAAGAAATGCATTTTGGTCCACAAAAACTCACACTGAAATAAATTTATTAATCTTTAGGCCTGCAATATTTTGTATTTTTGTTTTCTTTTTTGCCAACCATCTGGAGGTTTAGCTGCCCACACCCATTATAAACCACATTTGTTTAATATAAAACAGTGATTAGACACAATTTCTTTTTGTAGCATCCTAAAACATTTATGAATATTTTTTAAATGTTATCAGATTTTGATTCTGAATATTTTGTCTACAAAAGCATGATCAATGGCAGTAAAACAGTTGGAATCACAATGCTCAGTATTGCTTTTTTCATATGTACAGTACACCATATCTTATCCGTTATCAACCAGTATTAGACAAATGTGCATTTTGACATTATACTGTAAAGCATTCTCGTAACTCACCTATCTGTATCTTTATCTTCAGGCAGCAAAGGAGGAAGCGGCAGGGGTGGCAGCGTGGAGGTTATTAGTGGAACAGTGCAATCTTTTTCCTTGGGTGCTACACTTGGGGGGTGGGATTTGTTTTTCTCTTTCACCACAACAGGCTGTGTTGGAGTCTTCACAACGACTGATTTATTCTCTTTCACCACTGACACTTTCAGCTTAGCAGCTCTCTCTACTATCAAATTGTTTTCCCCCTTTGTTTCCTGAACAGGAACTTTTATTTTCGTCTTGTCATTTTTCAAGACTGAACCACCTGAAGGGGAAGGAGTTGGTTCAGTTTTTATCTTTTTAACTTCCTTCACGTTATTCACTGGTGGGGCAGTCACCCCAGTGTCAGTGCTTCCCTTAGTAGGTGTAGAAGTGTTTGAAGCTTTTGCGTTGGCTTTGGCCGCCTCTGCTGCTCTAGCTTTCTTGTTCTTGTTCAGCTCTGCAGCCAGGCTACTTTTAAAAGTCAGAGTACTAGGAGAAATGCTCGACTGTCGACTTCTGGATCTTGACAGTCTGTGCCTACTGCGAGATCTTGAGTGCCTTGAGTACGGGCTCCTGCTTCTGGATTTTGCTGATCTTCTGCTTAGGAGAATAAAGATTTTGTCAGTGCCTATTTTAATACCCAGCTGTCTTGCTCTTTATTAAACAATACACCATTAGCAAGTCTGTGGAAAAACTGGCTTTGTTAGTTAGGACCAGTAAGAGATCAGTCTGTAACTTAAAATTCTTAAATCTTAAATGGAGGATACTTTGAGTATTTTGTAGTTCCCAATTTATAAAGGTATTATAATTTTATCATCCTGATGGAAGAGATAAGTAAGCACCACACCTCATTCAGTCAATCAAGCCAGGACTTCATTTCATAATGGCTTTAAAGCTTAGCCGTGTTCAAATGTTACACCCTAATTACAGCTAAAGTGTGGTAGGAATAGAGCTATGCACATAAGCTCTGCCCCACATCCTCTCCCCACTCACAAAACAGGCAGACCTTCATTTGTTTAATACAATGGTCTGCAGTGGCATTTGTAAGTAGATTCATGATCAGAAGTTCTGATATGGAAGGGAAACTAGGTAAGCTCACTGAAATGATCTAAACACATTCCATGGTCTACATTTACAAGCACTGCTGCACAACTTTCATGTCAACACACAAAAATCTGCTTGTCTTCCAGGTAGCATGGTGATGTGAGGAGTGAGACTTGTCTACATTCTAACATTACCACCATGCCTCAAGTTCTATCAGGGTTCAGACTGTGAATAGTGAGATATACCATATTTTTTGCTCCATAAGGCATACCTGACTATAAGACACAACTAATTATGGAGCAAAAAATACGGTACATCCAATCTTTCTTGGAGGAAGCCATCGGAGCCCTCCTGGGGGTCCCCTGCTGCCATGAAGGCAAAAAGGCAGAGGGAAAGGATGGGAAATTTGAATCTCCCGTCTTTTTCCCCTGCCTTTTTGCCTTCAGAGGTCTGCAAGGGCTCCCTCCAATGTCGGGAGAAAGACCTTGGAGACCTCCTGGGGTCCGATCGCAGTGGCGGGGGGCCCCCAGGAGGCCTCCGATGGCTTGGAGGAAGCCATTGGAGACCTCTCATGAGTCGGGCCAATGACATTTTGAGACAGCCCCATGGTTGTCATAGTGGTTATGAAGTCCTGAGCCGCCCCTGTTAAGGTGGCCTCGGCATGGAGGTTGAGGTCCCCCAGTACCAAAAGTCTGGGGGTCCTCGCCACCAGGTCTGAGATCACCTGTCAGCTCAGGTAGGGAGATTGTTGGTAAGCAGCAGAGTGGGCGGTACACCAACAGAACCACCAGTCTGTCTTGAGCCCAACACACAATACAGGCCCTCTAGACCATTTCCCAAGGGAACAGGGAGTCTGGGAAAGTGGAAGGAATCCTTGTAGACTATCGCCATGCCTCCTCCCCGACCCTCTGGGTGACCCTGGTGTTGGACGAAGTACCCAGGGGGACACAACTGAGATAGAGGAACTCCTCCTCCTCCTCCCACCTCTGTATCAGTAATGCATGCCAGGGCGGCCCCCTCATCCAAAATTAAATCATGGATGCCGGCAGTCTTATTTTTTGCCGACCTGGCATTTACCAACCGTAGCATGTGGCCTGGGTGTGTGTGGCTGATATGGTCACCTAGTACCATTTGACTGGCAATAGAGCTAGAAAGGGGGATAGGGGTAAGGTATCTAACCCCCTTTCTCCTACACAGGCATGCTCTACTCCCACCGCCATATCTTCCCCTGCCATATATCGACTCTATTGGCTGCCCCAGAGGCCCCTCAACCCCCCCTGTTTCCCAGCCAGTTCCCTCAGGGAATCTGGCAGCCAGTAGTAGCCCAGCCACAGTCCCACTGTCTCTCACACAGTGACCTGTAGAAGGCAGATGTTATTCGGCTCCCCTGAGTGCAGGAATGCTGGTATATTATATATGGTTTGGGTTTTTTAATGGATTTAATATAACCAACTAAAACATCAGTACATTGAATCAGTATAATTAATTGCAAAGATATAAAAAAGTTTGCCTTGCTATAGCTGACTTTGAAAAAAATCCAAGTGAAGGAACAAAAGAAAAGAAAAATAGTTCATTAAGATTCACTATACACTTGTTGAAATCCTGTTGTGTAGCTCCGCACGCATGTAAGTTATGAAATCATTGACAATGGCAAATTGCAGATACAATGGTGCCCCGCATAGCGAGGTTAATCCGTTCCGGATTAAACCTCGCTATGTGAAATCGTCACTAAACGGAACGTAAAAGCCCATTGGAACACATTAAACATCGTTTAATGCATTCCAATGGGCCCTAAACTTACCGTTCAGCGAAGTTTCCTCCATAGCGGCAGCCATTTTCGCGCCCTCGGTAAGCGAGGGGAGGGCGTGAAAACGCTGTGCGCGGCCATTTCGGGCGTCCGGCGGCCATTTTAGAACTGCCGAACAGCTGATCGCCTGACTCTGTGGGAGGCTTGGGGGGGCAGTGGCAAGAGGAGGAGAAGAGGGAAAGGGGGGGGGAGGAGGCGCGAGCGTGCGGCTTCCCTCCCTTCGCTTTCCTGCCTCGCCGCCTGCCTTCCTCCCTGGGGGCGTCAGGAGAAGGACGAGGAGGAAGAGGGAAGGTGGAGGGTGGCGGGCGAGCGAGCGAGCACCGTTTCCCTCCCTCCATCTGCCTGCCTGCGTTTCTCCCCGCCAGCGGCAGGAGGAGGAAGAGGGAAGGTGGAGGGTGGCGGGCGAGCGAGCGAGCACCGTTTCCCTCCCTCCATCTGCCTGCCTGCCCGCCTGCGTTCCTCCCCAGCCAGCGCGGCCCCGCATCACTCACGCGGCAGCGGCTCCTTCCTGGCGCCCGTCTTAGGTAAGCGAGTTTTTTCCATAGGGACCGACGCTATGCCTCCACATTAGCAATCCCGGAGAAGGGATCGCTATGCGGATTCGTCGTTATACGGTGCGCTCGTTATGCAAGGCACCACTGTAATTAAAAGCTTCTTTGGCAACTTCTGGGTGCACATGACTTTGTCACATTGTGTACAAGTTGCATGAACCCTAATCACCTTTAATCAGCAGCAATTTTCCACTGATGATGATGTCATTCTCATTTCATACATGGAGTGGCACAAGATGATTCTGGCTACTGTTTATTTACTTCCTTTCCAGAAGTGATTTTTATTCTTAGAAACAGAATCACAACTTATTTTCAAGATACAATTGCAGATGCTGCTGCTTCAACAAATGTTACAAGTATGGAAATTTTGTATGAGATCAGGTCACCTCTGCAATACAAATGCTCTGAAGTTTAAATGAGAAAGCAATAAGAGCTCAGAGTCCAAATAAAAACTCCCTTCTACACATTAAAGCACACTGATACAAGACAAAACCCAACAGATTAAAGATCAAGCATGCCAATCAGCATGTCACAAGCACAGAGAAGCACTAGACCATTCATTCAAAAGATTAGAAAAATTATCTATATTGCTAAATTATGTTTCTAAGACAGACATCTTTTATGAATTCACCTAGTCTCAACAGTCAGCCTGACATCGATCTCATGGAAAATTCAGGAACGGATTACAAAGCAGACACTATGCAACCACCTGGAAAATAATGCAGTAACAACTAGAAACCAAAACAGATTTGTCAAGAAAAAATCCTGCCAGACTAATCAGATCTTATTTTTTGATCAGGTAATCTCTCTGATAGACAGAGGGAGTGCTGTACACAGTATGTCTTAACTTCAGCAAAGCTGTTCACAAAGTGCCCCGATTAGCAAGCTAAGTAGATGTGGTCTGGATGGAACAACTATCGGGTGGATACACAACTGGCTACATTCTAGTCAGAGGGTGAATGGCACCTTCTCAGACTGGGATGAGATATCAAGTGGGGTACCCCAGGGCTCAGTCCTGGGTCCGTGCTCTTCAACATTTTTAGTAATTACCTGGATCTGGGGGTGCAGGATGCTAATCAAGTTTGCAAATGATACAAAATTGAGTGGAATAGCCAATACCTTGGAAGACAGAAACAAAATTAAAAATGATCTAGATAGGCTTGAGCACTGGGCTGAAAACAATAGAATGAAATTCAACAGGGATAAATGCAAAGTACTGCACCTTGGAAAAAGAAACCAAAAACACAGTTACAAGAGGCAGGATACCTGGCTCAATAATACCATGAGTGAGAAAGATCTTGGAATCATCATAGATAGGTTGAATATGAACCAACAGTGTGATGTAGCTATAAAAAGGCTTATTTTAGGCTGCATTAATAGAAGTATAGTCTCCAAATCCCACGAGGACCTGGTTCCCCTTTGTTCAACACTGGTTAGGCCTTATCTTCAGTAATCTGTCCAGTTCTGCACGCCACAATTCAAGAAAGATGCTGAGAAACTGGAACAAGTTCAGGGGAGGGCAACAAAGATAACTAGGGGTTTGGGATCTATGCCCTTTAAGGAAAGATGGAAAGAACTGGGAATGTATAGCCTTGAGAAAAGAAGACTGAGGGGAGACATGATAGCACTTTTCAAATGCTTGTAAAGTTGTCATACAAAGGAGGGGCAGGATCTGTTCTCGATCAACCCAGAGTGCAGGACATGCAGTTAATAGCCTATTCATCTGTTTGAAGCAAAATGAGTAAAAATGTAGTAGTCAATAGGTATCTGGTAAATCAACTTTCCAGTAAGTTCCATTGACTCAAATTGCCTACTCTGATAGCACTTTATCACAGCAAGTTTAATTTAGAGTAGAACCATTTCAGCCAATGGATTTTACAGAGGAGGTGACTCACCAAACCCCACTGATGCAATGGGCCTACTCTAGTTCAATTTACTATGTTGAACAGGATTGTGTCCACTATCACCAGCTTGCTGCACATCAATGGTGTCCAAGAAGCAAGGGACTTTACTTCTTACAGAACAGAAGTAGTGTGTACTCTGTCACCAAGTAAAATTCCAAACTGCTATTAGTGACCAGGTAAGTACTTAAATACAAGACCAAACTATACCTTCTCAGTTTTTTGGACATAAAAATCTGAGATTAATTAGAAACAAAAGCTTTGAACTCCTCGCAGTTCATGGAGGAAGCAGGT